GTATCAAGAAAGAACAAACTAGTTTTAATTAAGAAAGGACTTATATCGCTGAAGTTCCTCGGAAAGAATTTATACCGGAAATTAATAAACGAGCAGATACGTAACAACGGTAACATGAGTATACGTGCGCTGTCTCATTGCAACTTTTGTAATGTTAGATAGACACGGCTGAACGGTCAAAATGATATAAATAATAAATATATGTATATATTATAATATTATGAGATTTAAGCTATTTAGACTAAACATTTGTGCTTTTGTGTTATAATTTGTAATCATGTACAGGGAAATGATGATACAGAAACAGAACTAAGCAAGTATAAGCTATATGAAATGATCACAGTGGTGATATATAACCCTAGCCGAAGGCGACAATTGCTGCAAATTCACGACATTTTGAATTTTGATCACAAGGATGTTAACTAACTACAAGTCACCTGCCTAGTTTTGTTTTAATGTACTTAAATATACATAAATTAAGGTATATATTCTTTTATAAGCTATATAATGTTAAGAAATTGCAGTTTCCAGTTCCAAATAAACTTTATCTCTGATGTTACAATTGTTAGACCCCTCTTTCACTACTGCCCCCAGTGCTATATTTCATATTGAAGTAGAAGACAAAAGTAGTTTTCCTTATCTTAAATGTTTATTGTAACGAATTTGGTATTATATATATATCTATTTTAATATCAACGTTTGTCTAGATTAAGTTTATATTTTAAAACATGCATAGCTTGTAGTGTTATATATGTATTGCGAAACTCTCGCTTATTCTCCAAAGTTGTAGAAGATTCTCCAGAATAAGAATCAACAATATATCTATATACGTAAACGTTTAAATATAGCTCAGTATTGTTATGTAATCAGAATTTTCTAGAAAACTCTCCCATGCCTATAAATACAACCAACGTGACGCGCCAAAGTGTGTGTCTATTAGTAGTTCACTATAATCAGTGTGCTATAAACTTCGAACTTTATAACGCTTATCAGTAGGAAAACTTCAAATATTTGACCAGAAGCATTTACAAAGTTCGAACATTGCGGCTCATTTAACTTCAGTGGATTCTCATCGGACACTAATATTTTTACGAAAACATTATCTAACTTCAACCTTGGAAAGCCTAGCATGTGTGGCCAAGGACAAAGGTAGCTAGCTTCCCGGCGAATCGTATCTACATCAACTCGTAATTAACTCGCTCATCGTAAAACCCTTGATAAGATATCATTAAATACAGAATTAGATCGTACACCTTCGGGAGAACATATATTTTATATAGTTGATAGATTAAAGGATTTTTAAAATCAGTTTGGTTTACTCTATATCAAAAAAAAGAAGGAATATACTTGGATTGGCTAAAGAGAAAACATTATGTTAAAAGCCAGATTGGATAAGCTATATGTTAATTCTATTATGTTAACAAGACTTTTCGGATTGTCACATGTAAATAAGTTCATTTCTTATCATGCAGCAGTAGTTGTACGATATACAGAAATTTTGAATGGGAATAAGAAGGGTTGCGCTTACTGGCGTTTTAATAATAAATTATTGGAAAAATACCAAATATTTAAGTGAAATTGACCAAATTATAACAGATTTTTAAACACAACCAAAAATAAAAAAATTAAAACGTTAGAGTGTGGAGAGATCATTTGAAAGGAGTAATTAAAGTAATTAAAATATTTAGTAATTTTAATTCAGTAATTAAAACTGAATTATTTCAAGGAAAAATTTATTTAAAAAAAGAAATGGGAGATATAGTTATCTCAGTTATACAACACTGACAATATGTACTCTATGTTCGAGGAAGCTTTGAAAGAACTGTGAAATGTATAAACGAATCCAAAGAATCAGAGAAATTAATCTTTTTTTTTTGTTAGATTAGAACAAACATCTAGTACACAAAAAGCTGTATTAACAGCTTTAAAGGCTAAACAATGGTAAGGTAACTTGGAATTCAAATGAGATAAATTCTATAATTATTGATTTTTATAATAGATTATATTCAGGAGAATCGGTAAATTAAATTAACGATTCTTTCTTTAAAGACGTACCGAGGTTACCAAAAAGTGTAAAAGAGTCTCTAGATGTTCCATTAACGTTTACAGAAATTACTGCCGCTTGCCAATCATTAGCAAAAGATACGTTTTCTGGAATTGATAGCATAACGGTTGAGTAGTAGTTAGTAAAACTTTCGTCTAACATTGGTAGTTTTCTACTAGAGTTTCTAACGAATCTTTAGAGACAGGCGAATATTCTAAAGTATGGGAAAATGCAATAATATAGGTTATAACTAAAAAAGGGAGATTTGACAGAATTAGACAAATTGGTGATCAGTATCACTTCTATGTACTGATTATAAGGTACTTTCGAAAGCCATAACAAACAGAATGAAATCTGTTATGAGGCAATTGATTCATGAGAGTCAGACTTACCCTGTTCCAGAATGGTGCATTTATGATAGTATATAGGTTATGCGTGATATAATCAAGTTCGCAAATCAAAATAACGAACGGATATTATATACCAGATGTACCATTAACATCCATCTTTTTAACCCCCAACAGATCTTTGGAGCAAAATTCAACGTTTATTGAGAGGATTTTAACGTGTTTGTTGCAATATATTCCTGCCCGTGAGAAGCATTATAAGTACTTTTATATGAGAGGTGTAATAAAATCCCCAATACATTGTTTAGTTTAGATTTCAGTACTCTCTATATTAACATCCTCTTAGAATAAGGAGTAATGTTTGTGACACATCTGGACAGCCTCAGACCACTGATCTTCAGGATTCATTAAAATGAATTTTACTCAATACCTAATTCTGATGAAGTAATGACCATTGCAAAAAATATTTTGATTACAGAAACGATTTTAACAAAGTGTTGATAAAGAAGCAATGTTAAAAACTATTTTAGTTTAAAATGCTATGGTGTTTGGTGTCCACCAGAAAGTCAAAAGGTTGAGATGTCTACACAAAGTTATATGTGCCGGTAATGATAAAATATCTTGAAATGATTGACATATATTATCTAGAAAATTGAAACATTATTCAAAAAGACACTTTAAAATGATAACATTGTTATGTATGGCATAATAATATAAAACATATTACAAAATCATTTAAACATTTAGCAATTTGATGTTTGATTACTTTCTTGACACTACCAAGATTTTTATTTCATATGCCAACTAATAATACTGAATAATTTCATAACTCTGGTTGTGTCAGACTACTTTCATATTCAAAATTTCTTGAAAAAAAGAAGGGAAGTATCAAGGCATGAATAATGTACCACTGTATATTTTATTAAACTAAATTGTAGCACTGAATGTGTAGTTCCTACTTTGTGGAAATTAAATTGCTACAAAAAACTATATCATAGTTTTTGCTTAGTAAAATGTATTTTAAATAATAGCAGACGCATAATTTTTATGGATTTTGATGACAAAATCACAAAATGGAATCCTTACCAGTCAGCCACCAATCCATAAATGAGAGAGCCAAGTACCGTTGATGAGAAAAATGCCACTTGTGCAACCAGAAGTTTCCAGTCATCGTCACACACCCAGCTTTGCTGTGAAACAAAAGTAATTAACCGTGTAAATTATGTTATGAAAAGTCATATACTGCAATAACAGCAAACAAATCTGATACTTAGAGTAATATCTGAACTATAATTTGAACAGTTTTCTTGTATTTTTGTTATATAATATGAAAAATGTTTGTTATTTTAACTGATAATTAAATAACGTAATTCAAAGGTTCGAATATATAGCTTCTCAAACCTTTTTTTTTTTTTTTGTTAGAATACCAGGGCATATCTATTCTTCAGCAAAATATTCTGGCTCCTGGATCAAAAGAGACAGTAGTACTTTTGTAGAAGATTACTTTCCATGCTTATAGAAGGTGTTCAATTACAGAGGGTTGAGTACATTATAGTAAAACCACAGTCGATATAAAATCGTGATATGTGGTGGTGGAAAGTCATATATCAGAACTACATTTTGACATTGTTTGCCGTTTCGTAGTTAGTGTGATACAATCACAAAAAGTGATTGCTTTTGGAAATCGTATAGAACAGCCCTTCTCGACCAAAAATATTTATACATTCAGATAATAAAGAAGTGTTCAGATCAGGTGTTCTTTTTGCTTCTATCTGAGGATCATTAACATTGAATGCAAACACTTGAAAGGTCAACACATATAATCATAAAATGGTGTGGACACTTCAACTCTATTGGGTAATTAGTCTGATTCATCACAGTTGATGGTATGTCGATATTTTGTTAAGAGAGGGGACTCATAGAATTCAATATAGCAGAAGAGAAAATTTTATGAAACAAAAGTTGAAGAAGTCACTTATAATACTTTGTATATGTCATTATTTATGATTATACATTCATACTAAAATATAAATCTCATACATTTTTCAAACTCTACATAATCATATATTTTCTACATAATTAAAAAAATAATAGATTATGAATTTGGTGTTCATGATACTTTAGCTTAACATTTTGTATGTCAACGAATTTAAAAGTCAGTAGACATAGTTTACTGGTCTTTCACTTTACTTAGTGATACAAAACACTAAATGTCTGTTCACGATATTCAATTTATCAATATTTCGCAGGATATGTTCAACATGTACATTTCAGTTAGCTAATAATCATGAACTGATTATCCACGTTTCTACAGATATGTTTAACCATCTAATACAAGTCATCAATGTATCTAAGTAAAATCACAAACTCTAAATAAGACTGTTGTCATATATATTGAAACATTTATTCACAAAACTAAGTAAAACCTCAAACTTAATAAGTATCACACACTCTCAAGTATATATTTACAAAACTTCAAGAATTAGATACATTAATATACTATTTATGTAAACATGTTAGTTTATAAAATACTGGATTAGCTTCCATACAACGTTTATACATTATGTTCATATTACTACTTGTTCATTTCATTTCAGTATGTAAGATATTTAATACAGTTAATAAACCAAAAACCTTGTGTAAAATACTTGTATTTCGATGAGTTCGTTGTAGTTTACAACAAAACATGTTATGCTTATTACTCACTAAGATTAAAATGTGCCTGGCATACAGAAATAAGTCAAAAGTCCAGACAGGGTCAGTCTATAAATATTCGGAAAATATCACTTATAATGATCTTATATAGATGATTCGCTAACAAAAAGTAACTCAATTGTACTCTGTTCACAGCAAAGATCAAATACCAGATAATTATGTGTCTAGCATAGTCATTTTTGATAAATTACACACTATGCATGTCACTTTCAAACAAACGAGTTTGAAGATCTAATACAAGACTTCATTTATGTTTTTTACATAAAACTAATGTTTTATCATAGCCCAATACCCTATCATTAATATATGTAAGTGAAGTCACAGACTTAATAAGTATCACTCAGTAGAACTTCTACCTCTTCAACGCAGCATTTATCATATTCAGCTCTCGAAAAATACGAAAATGTGTCAGTATGTTCGTATTTATCAATGAATACGGATCATTTTCTGCAGGACAATGAGAAATAATACTCTACATATGTCTACTAAGTTTCATTAAAATCCGATCATTTCTGACTGAGTTATAGAACAGAAATAGTGTGAAAAATTGGTCTCCATGTTAACAGATAGGGATTTTTTTTAGATTTTCGTGACCTTGGCATTCAACCTTGACCCTCCAAAAACTAATCACTTTTAAGATGGGTCATAGTCCAAATGTATACCAACTTTTGTCATTCAGCAGTTTTCGAGAAACGTTGCTGACAAACACACACACACAAACAAACAAACACGCACACAGGGGTGAAAAACATAACCTCCGTCCACCTTCGATGGTGGAGGTAACAAAACTTCAAGAATTAAATACGCTAATGTACTACTTGAAAATATTACAAGCATCTTAGTTTATAAAATAATGACCTACAGCCCAATGTAATAAAACCTGTGATACATACTTATTTTAGCATGTTATTAGTCAAACAGAATAAATCACCCTAAACGAAACATAAAAGACATTCTCCAAAGTGATTCGACCTAATACAATCATAGAAAATTTCTTTATTTAGGAATTTACAAAATATATCATGCACTTGAAATCCATAGTTGCTGGACATTAAAATATTTTGACCCTCACATTATCTCTCCCCTATTGCTTAAAACTGACACGTTTGACCATAGCCTAAATGCTATCATCAATATATTTAAGTAAAACCACAGACTTGTCAAGTGTCACACATACTGAAACATTTAATATCAAAAGTTTAAGATAGAAAAAATCGACTTTATCCAATATTTATGCAAAATAATGTGCGTACAGTCTATTTTTGACGATTTTTAGAACAAAATAAGTAAAATAATTGTGATAACAATAAAAAATGAAAAAATATGGTCTACAAGAAAAGGCGATTCTTTCACATTTTATAAATCCATCACGTTTACTGTTTATCATTACAGAATATTCTTTATACCCAAAATAAGTTGTATGTTTACTATACATTAACTTTAACAATGAAGAATGGATTTTGTATGTCATTGAACTTAACAGTTAATAAAAAACGAATATGTCTATTCTTACACTTTACATAACAATATAGAAAGCTAATAAATATACATTAATAACATTCTCTTTCTCAAAATCTGACGATACACTAGGAAGTTATTTTTTGTTTTAAGATACTACTTTCTGTTTTCGATTTAGAAATTACGTTTTATGTGGTTTAAAATTAATATCGTTTACAAATATAACTGTATATATGTAATTGTTTAGACACAAAGAAATAACAGTATCATCCATCTTACAGATTGGGTTGTTTTTTTCAAATTTATCTGAGGGACACAGTTCACAAATATCTCGATAACCTATGGTTTTTAGAAATAACACAAACTGAAACATCTGTGAATTACAAAATACTTGAATACCAAGATTAAATTAACTTTTATACAAGTCTAGTACATTTCAGATAGCGTACAATTCTTGAATACTTCCTACTCAGTTAGACTCTCCTACTGACCTCTGTTCATTAGTCGTATGTCTGTCAATAACCTCAACTTGAAAATCAACCTGTTATATTATCATACAGTATTTGGACATAACGAAAACAAGTACTAATATATTTCGTCTGATATATAACAACGCAGAAAACTGATTGAAACAGTAAATATTAGATTCTTATCACATAATATTGAGAATTTTTAAGCATTATAATATTTATGGAAATTAGATTTTCGTTGTAATAATCTTGGATAAAGTTGTCTTTTTTAACTTAATCCTTTGTTAATAAGTGTTTCAGTATGTGTGATACTTGACAAGTCTGTAATTTCATTTACATATATTGATGGCATATCAGGCTATTGTGGAACATGCCATGTTTTAATGATAAGGAAGGGGTAATGTTACTGTCAAAATATCTAAAATCCAACACACGAAGGACAGTCAAATTAATTATGGATTTTAAGTTTTGTAGAATTTCTAAATTAAGAAGCTTTCTATGATCGTATTAGCTAGAATCACATTTGGGGATTCCCTTATGTTTAATTTATGGTGATTTACTCTATTTGATTAATAACATGCTAAAACAAGAATACACCACATGTATTATTACATTGGGATGTAGGTTAGAATTTTATAGACTAAGGTTTCTTAAATAGTGTATTAATGTATCTAATTCCTAACATTTTGTTAATAAATATTTGATTATGTGTGATACTTATTAATTCTGTGATTTTACTCACATATATTAACAACAGCATATTGGGCTATGATGAAACATTAGATTTATATAAGAAATATAAATGGAGACTTGTATTAAATGATCAAACACATTTGTTTGAAAGTGGTACTCTTTGGGTGTAATGTATCATAAGAGACTAAGTTAGACACATAATTATCTGACATTTGATCTTTAGTCTGAACAGATTAAAATTAAGTTACTTTTTGTTAGTGAAGTGTCAATGTAAAATGTACATAAGATGTTTTCCGAATATATTCTGACACTGACCCTGTCTGAACGTTTGATGGATTACTGTATGTTGGCCATATTTTAATTTTACTGAGTAGTGAGCGTAACATGTTGAAATATGAAGAACTCATCAAAATACAAGAATTGTACAATAAATTTGTCGTTTATAAACTCTATTAATAATCTTACATATTGAACTAAAATGAACAAATAATAATATGGATATAATGTACAATATTTATATAACAGCTAATCCAGAATTATATAAGATAAGATGTTTACGTGAATGGTATATTAGTGTATTAAATTCTAAATTTACTGACTTTTAAGTTCAGTAACATACAATAGCTGATCATCACTAATTAAATTAAAGTATTGTGACCATTAAATTTATAATCTAGTATCTTTGAATTTATGTAGAGAATATATGATTATGTAGAGCTTGAACAATATTTTTTCAGTTCTATTAGCCGTCTATCTTAGTAAAAGATCAATGAACCATCAACTTTGGTGAGTCAGACTAAATATCCAATAGAGTTGAAGTGTCCACACTATTTAGTGATTGTATATGTTGACCTTTCTAGCATTTGCATTCAGTGATAATGATCCTCAGAGAGAAGCTGAAATAATATATGTAAGTAGTAGTTCATTTAATTTCCAAATGGAAATATTTGTAGAAAGGTGAAAATAATAGTTTTCTATAATAGTAATAAACATAACTATTTACATACATCCTTTAAAATTTAACTTTACCAAAGCTTATACAGATTAACTTATAAAGCTAAACTTGAAATTATTGTAGTCGATGTAATGATATATACAAATTCAATTAAGGCCACAAACTATTTATTACTTTCACAATAGTGTTCTATTTTTAATTAGTAGAAGTGCGCAAGGTTTGAATAGACATAAAAAGCGTAGGATTTATGGTTGTCGTATATTTTATGTAAAATTTGTCTTTACAGTCCAAATTTTCAGCTTCCTATAGCATTCATGTTTTAATAAATTTTATATATTTCTTAACATTCCTGTAGTTAGGAGACCATGGTATCACAACGACCTAGATATGCTAATAAAAGCTCATATATAACTTCAGACTACGGTAGTCAGGAGGCAATAGTATCTCAGCGACGTTTAGTATATGTACAAACACCAAGGAATTTGCAAATACTAAAACTCATTCAATACACAAATTCTAATATTTTTACCCATACCAGCATGAACTGCATATCAAAATTGAAAGTACTGCAAATAATCTTTATACGATGTCAGTTCACAGTTTATATCCTCACAACCAATAGAAGCAAATAATCTTTATACAATGTCAGTTCGCAGTTTATATCCTCACACCCAATAGAAGCTAATAATCTTTATACGATGTCAGTTCACAATTTATATCCTCACACCCAATAGAAGCTAATAATCTTTATACGATGTCAGTTCACATTTTATATCCTCACACCCAATAGAAGCTAATAATCTTTATACGATGTCAGTTCACAGTTTATATCCTCACACCCAATAGAAGCTAATAATCTTTATACGATGTCAGTTCACATTTTATATCCTCACACCTAATAGAAGCAAATAATCTTTATACGATGTCAGTTCACAGTTTATATCCTCACACCCAATAGAAGCAAATAATCTTTATACGATGTCAGTTCACAGTTTATATCCTCACACCCAATAGAAGTTTGCTTCTATTGGGTGTGAGGATATAAACTGTGAACTGACATCGTATAAAGATTATTTGTAATCTTTATACGATGTCAGTTCACAGTTTATATCCTCACACCTCATAGAAGAGGAACCAAATACTTCGTTTTTAATGTTTCTTTAAGAACACCAAATACGTTGATTTTATAACTGCATCTAAAGCTCGAAAGCGTGTTATGTACGTGTTATAGTAAATTAAGATTAAAACCACGGCTTATTCTTACTAGGTACAGTTATATCTCAGACACATATCCGTCTTATTTGATATGGTTATGTTTCAAAGACTGCTAAGCTTTACTAGATATGTTCCAATATGGATTTATACCAGGCACGTCTTTGTTTTGCGAGATATATCTATATAATCTCTTATGTAATTATATTTTAGAAACAGCTTAACATTATCGCATCTCTATATCTTTTGTAGCATCATTGTAGGTGCCGTCTTAAATGTTTGTTAACACTTTTACACCAACACCAAAACTCACATTCTTACGTACACATTGTTTCACTGTAACTTTATTAGTTGATCTAATCTGATATCTAAGGTAGACACTGAAAAATATTATACGCTATATATATATTTAAATATATATTAATTAACTATACCCACTTTTTATGTTATTGTATATAAATTCACCGCCTCAATTTCTTATACTATGTTACATTGCTTAATGTAAACAGCTGTACTTAAATCAAGTCCTACCTCAGAAGATACCGTTTTGTGATAGGCCTGAGTATCAAACTCGTGCCCGTTTTTGCAAGCACATTTTGGCCAATTGGTTTTTGCTACCAATATAATATTGCTGTTGTTTCTGAAGGGCGCTCTTAACACAATACTTGTAAAGTTCACATCGTACATCTCACATGAACTAAATTTTATAATTCCATCCTTGTCAACTCGTGGAATGGCTAGCTCAAGTCTGGCTTCAAGAGGAACAGTATCCAACTCCGGAACCTTACACCAATGATCTGGGGTAATAGTTATCAAAATCTGACTGTAATATATGGCAGCAAGAGTAGGGGACAGTACCCCAGCAAGCAGAATGCAAAGACGCTTCTGAAAAGGGCCAAAATCCCCCACTTTGGATAACACCTTTGTTTCAAAGGTCATGCTATCATCAGAGTATAGTTGTAATTACTATAAAATCACATTTGGTATCAACGGTATTATTAAGTTTAAAACAAAACTGAAATTATATCAAGGTGGAGAAAGAACTCTGGCTAAAAGAAAACCTCCAGCATTCATTTTAACGCTAGATGACTTCGGCCTTCTTGTTCTAACACTCATATCCAAAAAAGGATTATTTTGAAGTTTTGGTTATAGTTTGAATTTAATGATTTAATGTTATCTAACTTCGAACTCATTCTGTTAGCATAGTTAGAAGCGTCTGTGGTGAAATACAAAAAACAAAAACAATATTCACACATCACTCGGAATCACTGAAATATTTCCTATCGAACGTTCGCAAAGAATTGTGAACATCGAGTTTCCTAAACTCCGAGAAATTAATAAAACGATTGTTAAGTTGATAAGACTTAAATAGTATTAAACAACATTCAGACTACCAATAACACCCTATTAGCCTGATAAGTCTGACTGAATGAGACTGCTAGGTTAGTTCAGTAACTTACGCAAGAATCATTTATTTAAACAGATCACACTTCACAAGGTAACAGCATGACTATTCAGAAAAGCTAGCAATGTATTACACAATATAATATAGTGCTTGTGTACTAATATATATTTACTGATTATTTGTTTTCTAGTGAAAGTGTGGTCAAATGTAATATCTTAATATATAATGTAGGATTGGAAAAATGTTCTCAGTTATCTTCTTCTCGCCTTCAATTTTGCAATTTGATCTTTTTTTATATAATAGCAACACGAATCTATATACCAACGTATATAACATTTATTGTATAGCACATAAAATAACTTTTCATACGTCTGTTTTACGGGTGATTCTACTGGTTATACTATTTCACAATTAAAGGTTTTGTTGAATAAATTAATTATCTAATCTCTCTTTTATCAGTGATAATCAACTGGGAAATAAATGAACCTCATCTCTTAGGAGATTAATTTAATTACAATTTATTTAGAAACAATAATAAAAACATAATTACCAAGATTATGAAACATATTTTTGATAGTAATGCACGTAAGTATCGTACTTTTGACAATAATTCTTCTATAAATCTAAACGAATTAGAAAACAATCGTAATAGTTCAAAGCTAATTTGTATAAAGCTACTTTAGCCAAGCGTTTTCGACGGATGATAACAGAAGTTTAAAGACAAATAGAACTTAATCCAATATTATGAAATATTTGGTTGTGTATTATCCTCGAATCATGGTTTCAAGTTTTTACATCACTATACTACGACAAATATGATCCATACTGGTGCGTTTTAAATTTTACGTATAGGTACATTCATATTCTGTGAAATTAAGTTCATTCCCTCAGGAAAGTACTTGTGAAAATAAAATGAAAAATTATGTATGAAGCATTTATGTCTTAACATAATGAATAACAGTAAGGCTAAATATTGATTTTTTTTTCAATATTAATTCTGAACTAATCAATTATGAGAGATTCCTAATTACCGAGAGCTCGTTAGTCATCATTATTAATTTACTGATCTATTATTTCAAGTGTATACATTTTTATTCTGGAAGATTTGAGAATCAGCAGAAACTATATCTTTAATACTGACAAATTTCAAACTAATTTGTAAACACACTTATGCACACTCACACTAAGTGAAACAAAAGAACTAAAAGTTGATATTCCAGAAAGTATATTTTAGTTTCACTCTTTGCTAAGCTGGGTTCATGCAGGAACGACAAGCACGGTTATTTCACGGTTTGTGCTGCTACATAATAAGGAAGAAATAAGAGGTGATAACTTTAGATTGCACTACATTGGATCATAGTATAGATTATTAATTAATACATGTATTTCGCAAGATAAGTGTAAGATATAGATAAGATTTTTGGAGCGGTTTAATTTGCTAATAACGCGTACCAGTATGCTTCCTAAATCAAAGCATATGTCATGATGACTTTGATACTTTGCCAATTTTGTAAAGTCATGCTTATCGAGTTCTGGTGGCACCACCACCAGAAGACATCCACACATTTTTAAAATCCGTATATTTTTTTTATCAATTATGTGTTGTTAATGTTCTACTTCTAATGATAGTGTAGTTAGATATCATTAAAGATACATGTAACTTGTTTTTCAGCACAAAAGTTTTTCTTTTCATTTGAAACAAGGTTAATGGAAGTCAATTATAACATTTTGTAGAAAGATTTATTGCGAAAGAATTTAATTTCAACTTTCTCTTCATTAGAAATATAATATCTTGTTTCTAAAAATTTAAACTGCACAGAAACCGCTCAAAATTTACTTTTATCAGACAAATATATTGAATAAACAGCTGAAGATCATTCATTATTACAACAGGTAAACTACAAAAACAGAAAGATGCGGAATTATTATCACACCCGCTAACCTGAAAAAAATAAGAAAACCAAGCTATTATCATAACAGAAAAAAGCAGCTAACGACGAACCATCATTATAGCAGACAAATACAGTCTTGGCCAAAATGTTTGCATATTTTGTAACAAATAAGATCCTTATTATTAGATGAAATACAAATACATTTAGCACCTAGAAACCGGATTTCGATATCGGTGATGGGCAGAGCACAGATAGCACAAACAAACATTTAACACTGTCAAACTGGGAAATGCATGTTATATTAAACATCTACATATGTAATTTATATAATGAGACAAATTCTATGGACATCATGAACGATTTATTAGAAGAGTAAACAATTTTATCAGACACCTGTAGAAAGATGTGTAATTCACCATTTCACCTATCATAGCAAAACCTTACCAAAATCTGTATAATGAAAATATATAACATCCAATTATTATAAATAGTGCCTGTAACCTTATATCAGTTCATATTAAACACTCAGCACTTGGTTGGTCCTCTAATAACTTCCACAAGGCGACGTGGCATGGTGTCGATGAGGTTATTGATATAATCCGCTATGATTTCATTCCAACTTGTCACTAAAAGGCGTTGAAACACATCTACAATAGCTGTTTTGGGGCTCCATTCTACACAACAGTTTTCATTGGGATTACAAACTGGAGACTTTACTGGCCATGACATCCTTCTGATCAAAATAATCCCATACAATACACGCAATGTGGGCTGTGGCATTGTCATCCTGGAACACAAAGCTATTGCCAAATCTTGCCCTAGCATGTGGCAAAAATATTGTCTTCCATGCGATGCCTGTAGGAGGCGTCATTGGCGTTTCCCTGGAAGATATGAAGAACAGTTTTTTCACCATGACGAATAGCTGCCCAAACATGTACTGCACCACCTCCTGTATGTTCCCTGTGAGAAAGACAGTCACCTCTCATCTGTTCTCCAGGTAAACGACGAACATGAATCCTGCTAACAACTTTAACAAGCCAGAAACTGGATTCATCTGAAAAGATGATATGAAAATATTGTTGTTGTTGTTTTTCTAAAATTGATGAGTTCAGATGTAAAATAACTTTACAGTTTCTTACCGAAGGCAAGAATAAACAGAATAATTTTCATTCCAAACTATAAACCAAATATTTCTGAACTCGAGTAATTTGGAAGATTATTATTGTGATGCTGTTAACAAACTTTTAACAAAAATTACTGACTTTGAAGCAAGACGATGTGGATGGGCCTTAGCAAGCATAATGTGTTTAGAATTTCTGATCAATAAATATAATCCATTAAAAGATTCATCATATATCGAATTACCTAAAAAGATACAAGATAAAATATCTGTGTTAAATATTAAAAATAAAGATAAAGAATGTCTCATGTATTGTATATCAGCATATTTTAATACAGTAGATAGAAAAATCACAATCCAGAGTGAGTTAATAAATATAATAAAGCAGAACAACTGAAAGATATTAAAGAAGAACTTTAAAGGATCTGTTTTTATAAATGATATTCCAAAATTTGAAAGGACGATTAATACATCGGTAAATGTCTACAGTTATGATGAAGACTGTATTTATTATTTTTGAGTATAATTAAAAAATGCACAAGACTGACATGTTACTCTTTTATATATGAAAGATAAAACTAATATGTAAGTAAGTTTGAGGAGTTGCAACGCTAAAATCCGAGGTTCGATTCTCCACGGTTGACACAGCAGATAGCACAATGTGGCTTTGCTCCAAAGCAAACAAACAAATAAATCTAATGCACATTATTGTCGTATCAAAGATATTTTTCGAGTAACTTAAAGTCAATTGATAAATAATAGAATAAAAATATATATCTATGTGATTGATGTTTGCAGTATTTTTATTCAGAACTCAGATTGAAGAAACACGAAGAAGACTGTGAGACAAAAGAAGCTGTGAAGACTGAAATCCCCTTAAAGTATTCAGTTATAAAATTTAAGAATATAAGGTAACCATAACCAAATTCAATTGTAAGACATATGGAGATACACCAATAAGTGTTGAAAAGAAAGTTCACGAGCATCATCATTTAACTGGAAAATATAGTGGACCTGCACACGAAAGTTTTAATCTATTGTATAGAAATTATTCATTCATACCATTGTTTATTCATGATATTATTGCATATGGGAGTCTTCTGTTTATCAATGAATTAGACTGAGATAATAAAGAAATTGATGTAAAACGTCTGTACTTATGTTATATGGCTTCCTTTTCTAAATGTAATTAAATCCAATTACCACTAAAAAAAAACATGTTACAATATATTGAACAAATGCGATACATTGGACAATGAGTACAACCATGCTTAAAACGTTTGGAAAGAGTTTAAGCTACAAAAAATAGGAGAATATCCTGATCATTAGGTTATAACTGATGTTCCGATTTTTGTTGATATCTTTCGAGAACTTTGAAAAAATATGAATTAAATTATGCTTGGTACTACACAACACTTGGTCTATCATGGGATGCAATGTTAAAAAATACTAATATTGAATTAGAATTATTGACTAACTGTAATATGATTTTAATCCTTGAGAAATGTTGAGGTGGAGATATATCTCAGTGTTGTTATCTGACGATATAAAAGCTACTGTGTGTTACGTCACTTCACGTTCTATTTATCTTGATTTCTCGAAATAGGAGGAGTCATAAAAGCCAAAATACATTTATCCAGATAGAATAGATCGATTAATATCTGTCCATTACGATTTTAGTGACGGGGGTTCAACATGGCCGTGAAACCTTATAAGTGTAGTGAGTGTTGGTTTAATAAGGCTTAAGTGTATTTTAGTGACAGATTTTCTTGTAGGCAGATTTTGTTAA